CTTTTAAAAACAAAAGACATGGACAAACACTTTGCAGTCGCCCTCAGCATCCAGCTGAGCTGTTTGCATTAGTCGCCCCGCCCCTAGGGGCATTCATTTCGCATCCTATCTGTTGCGAAGCTGCATTTCGTGCTAGTAGCCAAGAAGGGGACTAGTAGTGGTTGTTACACTTCCTCGCAGCCTGGTAAATAAACCTTTGTGTAGGCTACTAAAAGCCATAGTAACAATTGTGGTGTGTTGTTTCGAGCAGATCTCACGCGATTTTTTTTCCTCGACTCTTTCGCGAGTGGGGAGCACTTTAATATGAAGAATATGACCTTCCGAAAGCTAAAGAAACTTAACTCCAGTGACCCGGACTGTGGAACATCGGACAGCGGCGAGATATACTTCAGCTCTTCCAAATCGGACAGCTGTAGAACCATGGAATCCAACAGTTCCTCAGATGTTTACAACTACAGGACCCTGGCGTATTCTGGAGGGACGCTGCCCCGGAATTTCAAAAAGGTATTTAATAAAATAATTAACCATCTTCATCAACAAGTTGCCACTGCCAGTCTGACAGCCTGAAGGGTCCATGCACTTTCTCAAAGTTTGTCGTCAGCTGGCTTGTTTTGTCGAGTCACTGAATCTTGAGCTCTTTAATATTGGCTAATGATAGGTTGAATGCAGTCAACTTGTGCATTTGTTTTTCCATTCTGTAGATTGCTTGTTAGGAAGTTGCATTTGACAGTTCGCGCAATAATGGTCTAAAAACATGTTTGGAAAATATCAGAGTGACCGTGGACCGCAGACAGCTAGCTATGTAGAAGGTATCGCCAGTATTAATTTCAGACAATTCATTCGTTTGGCTACCAGTGCCATGGATGAAGCGAACCGATTTCTTTTAGCTAACCAAATAAATAAAGACGTGCTTCTCGAACTCGGATAACTATAAACTGTTGATATTTGCAGGCTGTTTAATTTGACAGATGTAGTCAGTGGCTTTTGCGGTGCAGCGGGTCCCTGGCGTCAAACGCACACATTGGGTACACATGGGGAGCGAGGGTGTCTGGAACTAATTACGAATGGAGACAATAATCCTGCGAAGGCATGGGGTTTAATTGGGAACAGTAAATTGGGCACATGGTTGCAGCTTTCTCCCAACATTAGGCTATACAACTAGTCGTATAGATGAAGTAGCTTACTCGACTAGCAAGCAGCGAACCTTCACGACTGGGGATAATGTTGACTTGGGTATTTTAGCTTTTTAAAAGCACCCTGGAGTGTGAGACACATCTTTGCCTCGCCAACCGTTTTAAAGGCTAAACACCTTGTTAGTGTTGGGTATAAACATATGTTGACTGGCTGGTTATGTAGGAAATTGTGTTACCGGGTTTGACGTTCTGCAGCAGGTATTAATCGGACTATCTTTTGGGTATCAGAGTTTGGACGAAAACTTTCGCATGTGCACCCGTGGTGTGAAACGAAGGCTCGATTGTAGGTTAAGATATTTGAATGGCTGGCTAAGAAGCGGCACGTGGTTCCGATAAGCAAATGCCGAAGGTAATCATCTCATTTACATGGACGCAGGGGATAATGCACACCATTGAAAAATTTAGAAGGAACTCGTTTGTCCTGGATTGTAGGTGGCTGGAGGCTCGTTGCATTTAACAGTCGGACGGTATTTGCATAGTAGGAGATGATAATATTGTAAAACCCAGTTACGATAAACCTGTCTGTTGCAACACGTGAATCCGCGAGCCCGTATAGTCTATACGGTTTTGTAATCATTCCATCTTATTTTTAAACATTTCCACCAGCAAACATTACCACCTGCGCTTGTTGGCTATTTGGAAATTGTGTTCCTAGGGGAATACACACAGGTGCCGTGTAACAGATGTAAAGCGTGCTTTTGACTGCCACAGTGAAGTAAGACCGCCCACACTGGAACCTGGCTCAGGAGTGGAGACAAGGGGGTACTGAACGAACTGAAAGCTACGCTGTCCAAAGGTTTTCTTTTTTGTGTAGCGCTTACAATGCACGCACTGTGAGATGTAGGCTACTCAAACATAACTCCAGCAATTAGCCATAAGTATTGGCAAACATTGCTTTTGCGAGCAAAACGAAGACGGATTTTGACGTCATTGGGAATGAACTGTGCAGTGCCCAGTTACTTCCTGGGGAGACTTATTTGAATGTTTTTGCCCTCTTTTTGAGTCACTGTGCTGGTGTTTAATTTGGCAGCTGCAGTCCTTGAGTTCTGCACTTCCAGCTCCCCCACGCCTTGTTCCCAAAAGTACCCTATGTTCCTGTATGAAAACATACCTTCACCTGCATGACATCCACAGCTACAAGCCTATTGTTAAACTTTTAACTGTTTATTAAGTGGTATTACCAGAAGCCTTTTTAACAAAATAGCATCATTTTCACCAGGGGGTGGAGTAGGCTACATTCAAACATAGACCTACCTATTTAGCAAATAAATTTGGCACTAATACTTAAAAGTAACAATTGCCTCCTAACCAGCCCAGTGTCCTAAAGTTCTGTTTGGAACTTTTGGCTTGAGCCAGCTGTCTGTACACATGCCTGACATTTGACACAAATGTGTAGGGTTTAAGTTAACAAGGAAGCTTCAGTGAAGATTCGGCAGAGAGAGCGAGAGGCATGAAGTGTCTCAGCGTCGCTGGACCGTCTGCTGCCTCTCTGCAAGCGGTTCAGAAGCGGCGACGTTTCCCTGTGGCGTGAAAGGGCCGCTTTGAGCACCCTGCCCAGGTGTCGGTGCAGCGGAGGAACGGAGGAGGTGGCCGTCCAACTCGGCGCCGCGTGCCTCCCACACCAGCCGGCCCCGCGCCTGGCCACAAAAGCACATTGTGAGGCGGACTCGGCCCTCGCTCCAGCCACCCCCACGGGACTCCCAAGGTATTCGGGAATAAATGAAGTCATTGAAAAAGGGGCCCGCGACGATTTCGTAAGTGTAAGAAAATAAAGAAAGGCAATGTTTAGTTATCCCTGGCCGTCACACGAAGTGTGTTTTCAGAGAAACAAGGCTTGGACTCGGCAAGGTAGAACAGGAGTGGATTGATTGTAGGAAAAGGAAAAAGGGGAAAAAGAGAGGCTGTGTAATGTGAAAGGGGCTCGTGCTAAGTAGGGTGGTTCTTGGCAGGCTCTTGCCTTCATTTACTCTGAATGTGGTGATTGTGGAAAATCCTGGGGACTCCAGACACTCTTGGTGAGACTAAGTGTGAACTTTGTGGGTCTGGCTAGCATGCCTGAGATTCTGCTGATCATAATCAAAGAGCTAAGTCAGTACAGTGGGTGTATCGGCAGAGCACGAGGAGAGGGCCAGAAACCCGACCGCAGATGCAGGACAGATACAGGAACAACAATCCTTCCTTTGACACAGAGCGACACATTGGAGGTAAAGGAGGCGGCTCCGAGATTTTGTTTTGCCTTTGTCTGAGGCGTCATGTTTATAGATGACGACAGTGATTTAGCTGTTTTTCTACCTGACGGCAAGGTGACACGCGACCGATTATGGTAACAAAGTGATAAAGCCGGGTTGGCGGGTGCACAGCCGGCCGCGTGTCAGAGGGGTGTTTTGCCCAAGCCTGTTCTCCTGCCGTGCTGGGGAATTCCCGGACGCGCTTGCCGCCTGGCCCGACTGGCACATGCACACCACGCATGCACTGACAGGGAACCCATCGGCATCTTTCAGCATCTCTCCCGTCTCTCTCTCTCCGCAGGGTGGCCTGCAGAAGTGGAAACCCCTGACAAAGTCTCCGGAGCTGCAAAGGTACTTCTGACCTCTGTGCATCATCAGCTCATTCCTCTCCAGCTCCCACCTGCTCACTCTGTGCATGTCTTTCTGTACAGGAATCAAAGCAGAGCCACATGCGTTCGGGCTCAGTCATGACCACTAGACCTAGACCACTGTTAAGGATGTATTCAGGGGCGCTTTATTACTTAACATGTTTATTGAATCAGCACTTGTAATGTATTTTAAAGATTCCTTTAAAAGTATTTGAACGTGATCAGCACAAAAGTGTTGAGTTGGACGTACGCATGATGCAGAATATCAAATCAGATGGTTTCCATGATTTTTCATTTCCTCATGCAACTGCCTTAGGTACCTTTTTAGGTGGAAGTGAAAGAGAGGATCATTAATGCAGTAAAATGCTTTGTTTGAACATTGGGCCAACTGACCTTCAGATGAAACACAAATCAGGAATAGGAATGGCTAAATGAGAGTCAATAACATGCATATGATCATAATGTAATTGAGCGTTTGCCAGATCCATCCTCTTTCTGAAAATATCACTCTGAGTAAATTAAGTTAGGACAAACAAAATGCCTTTAAATGCCTTTAAACTCCATTTTTCCAAGCGCACACGCAAAATTATAATAGTATCAGTGTAATTTGATGCTTTGTAGTCTCGTGGGCCTGTCTTTAAAGAGCATTGTCTGGCAACAGTCGGTGCTATTATGTCTTGTGGTGGTGCAAGGATTCATATTCATGGACTGCCATTATGAAAAGGCAATGACACAAATAGCGTTTGGTCAGACAGGCGTGCTTGTTACATTGGATAATGGCCATTTGTTGTTGCCTCTTACCCACCCCACAAAGCTGGCCATGAGTTGTTTCTAATTGAAGGGCTGATGGACCATCACACAGTGCAGGCCAATTGGACACTCCCTCTCGTCATTTTCTGAGGGAAACCGTGAAACGGGGTGTTGTTATGACTAATTTGTGCGTGATTCGAAAGGCCCGGCCCTAAATACCAAATTCACAGTGGAGATGATCTGTGTTGTTGGAAAGTTTCCCTGCTCTGTTTGTCTTGTTTGGTTTTTGTTTGTGTCGTTGGCACGGGATCGCCTCTGATAATGTCACTTGGCCACGCCCTTGTGGTTGTGTTTTCCTTTTTCATGGCCTCACTGGGCCTATTGTTCTCGCTGCTACTAAGGATGCTTACCGCTGCTGCTGGTGTGTAGCACACCGCGTGGCCAAAGCATCTGCCAGTGCAGCCATGTGGCGTAGTGGGTAAGGAGATGGGCTCGTAACTCAAAGGTTGTGGGTTCAATTCCTGGGTGGTGGGGTGCAGTTGGATATATCCTGAGGGTATGTGCTGAGAAAAATATGTATTGTTAAATGCATTCCAGTAGTATCACGCTACAACTGCTTGGTGAATGTTGAACCTCTACAGCGATGCTCGTTGAAGAGCTCGGAGCAGGTGATCCCTGAAGTGAGTCAAACATTGTGTTTAGGAGGCTCAACCTTCTAAAGGTGTGCAACCTCTGAAAGGCTCTCACAGTTGTCGCAGGTCCCAGCACTCAGCCCTGTCCCAGCTTTTAAGACAAGTTCAGCCAGCCATGCCAAAAGACCCACACCTCTGACACATGGGTTTTGACAAGCACTTCCAGCAAGCACAAGCAACCCCCCCACCACCATCACCATCACCATCACCACCCCCCTGAATCCAGGGTGTTGCTGTCATAAAGCCCATGTTTTGAATTGGCAGTTTGTTGGGATGTCTGCTTGGAGTCTAATTAATGTGGAAATTAATTTGATCTCATGTCCTTTCTATCCAGAAAAGTCATCGTTCTGGAGAAGGAAGATGAGGAGACGTTTGGCTTTGAGATTCAGGTAAGAGGATTATCTGGCTGATTGGAGATGGTGCTCAGCACGTGTCAGATACCGTAATCCCCCCAGGTCCACCTCGTTTCAGTAGACATGCTTCACGACACTCTCTTTAAATTTCCTTAATGTAAAATAATTCTTATATCATCTGCCATTAACACTGCATGTTTTGCTCGCTCCCCCCTGCCATTGTATAGTGACTTATGCCAGCAGTTGCATAATGACATGTGTCATAAATTCAAAATTTATGTGCAAATTAAATCTGGAGATTTCTCAATATCACATCAGGCAGTAAGATTAATTCAGCTGAAATGAGCTCATATCTATTGCATGCTATGAGCTCCCCTGCTAGTTGAAGATACGCTGCTGAAACAGTGAAGTAGGTGATAGTTTTCAGTTGTGCAATACAGAAAAGTAGCTCCTCAGTCCCACTGCTGGTTACATGATTAGGAAATGTGTGGCCCAGTAGTACCAGCAGTGAGAGACCCAGAGAAACGTGAATGCATAATGACATGGATTTACACCAAGTGGATTTCAGCTCATTCACTCAAAAAACCAATTGGGATGTAGCAGTCCCAGAATTCTGTGGGGTGATAGGTCGTAACTGTCAAACAGGGAGAGGCATTTCCAGGGTCTTGTCACAACATCATTGTCTCTGTTCTCGGGACATACTGGATGTGGGAGGCCCCCACCAGACAGTGCAGATACCCTTATCTCCAAATACAGCACAGCCAAGCCCCTTTCCCTGTCCACCACAAGCCCCCTCTCAGAACTCCCATCTCTAAAAACGGTGCATGTATGCACAACTAATAATAGTCATCAGCTTTATCATGCTGTGGTTTCACAAAGCTGTCTTTCTTTCATTTTTTTCCTTTGGTGGCTAGATAAGCAGTTATATTTGGGGACTGCTTGCAAGTATTGTTCTGTATCGTTGGATAGAAAGGCTTCCTTTCCTGCCCTGTGTCAGCCTAAGGATGTGGCCTCTCAGTGACAAAGAGAAGTGTCAGATCATGTTTGTGGCTTCTTTTTTTTTTGTTTTGTATTAGTTCCCCTTACTACTGTTTCGCTTGGGTCCTAGCAACACTAGCTTGACTACTAGAACACCCCCCTGTCCTGCGTAAATGCAACCTTCTGTTTGCGTCTCTGGGGACTATTTGCATGCCATGCACATCTGGGGTTCCCCCCCCTTACTGAAAATGAACCACAGTATTCCTGTGCAGATTCAACGGGTGTTGGAACTGAGGAAATGAAAGCAAACCCAACTCTCACTTATCATGACGTGAATGAATGCTTAACTACTGGTGCAGACATGCCAATATGAACATGGTTGATGAATAAATAAGAAATTGTCACAGACAAATAAGCTGTTGACCAAATTCAGAAGCGATACCGTAATGGTATTTTGTACTACTTACACTAATACAATAAGGATATTTTTTCATTAGGGCCATAAATGGCAATTATGGCATTAGTGCCATAAACAGCAAGCGGTTAGATTAATTGCCACATTATAACCCACAGTGAGATTAGCTGACAGATTTCGCTTGCTAGTCTGTCTCATGTTTTTTTCTTATTTTCTACCCAGCTACTCAACTTAACCTCATCCCGCTGTGACACTGCAGCTGAGTGGGAGTGTAGAAGGTGCAATCCTCTGATACACATGCAACTACTTTTCACACTACAATTCCCACAGTGCACTAGGGGGCTGAAATTCAGTGGAGTATAGACACAGCCCTTTGATGCTGATCACCTCACAGGCACACGACCAAGTCACAGGGCACCCTGGCTGACCCACTCACCCACCCCTATCCCTATGAGAACACCAGGGTGGACTCCCAGTCATGATCAGCTGGTGGCACAGCTAATTTCAGACCCCAGTCATAGGGCTCATTCTACCTTAAGAACAAGCCTCTTTACTGTCTGAGCCACTCAGGGAGCCTCATTTTTTTGTAGTGGTTAAAGCATTTAAACAGGTGACACTCACCTGAGAGGTTCGATTTCCGCTGGTGACACTGTGCTTTGTAAAAGAGCACGGAAAGTTCAACAAGGCGTGATCGCATGACATCTCTGACTGGTGCTACCTGGGAAATTTCAAACCCCAATGAGACAGGATGACCTGAGGTGCTGCAGCACTCATACCGCACTGCATGGAAACAGGACGCGCAATTCGACCGCTGGGAAATTTAGCCTTCATTTGTCTGTGGGAGTCGTCAGTGCTTTCTCCCTGATAGAGATCACGTTTGAAAGTGCTGAGCTCAGTCAAAAGCAGTCATATTGTGCCTCTTAATCACATTGAAGCCGAGTTGTTACTCTGAAAGGGTTTGCTGATGGATAATCCAGAAGGTGTTGTTAGTTAAAATGAAGGAACACACACTGTAGTACATTGTACATAAATGTCACTGGTAAATGATGTCTCTGACAAGGTGAAGGATTTCATCAGTTGACACCAGTTAGAGTTTCAATAATGATTTGACACATCTGAAAATTCCACTTTCCAAGTGTCTGCATGACTAATCAGATGATCCAATCCAATGCACATGATGTCAGTATCAGTTTGGACCAATGGTATGACACAGTTCTCTGACAGTAGACTTTTCCTTATCATGAATTCTTCAGCTTACCAGTACTCAGTGTTGATTGATAAGCTGTGGCTTCTTACCACTGGGGCTCTCAAAACATGGAATAGAATATCATGATCTGTTGGTCAGTGAAAACGCCACACTTTATGCACCGACGCATGGTTCCAGACCATGATCTCTGACATTTACTCAGTGTGGTTTTTGAATATCACATGGGAACAGAGCTGTTGTTTTGCATGGGAGGAAGATAAATGGCTGTGCAAGATAAGAATCTGACATGTAAATCGCGCTCGGCCCAGACCAACATGCAGACGAGAACCCATCTTTTTTCAATGTTCTTTTTGATTTTTAATCAGATTTTAGTCTTCCTCCTTTAGCATTTATGGGACTATTTTTTTTTTTCTCCACCATCTGCAGACCGCCGCATCCTTCGATGTTATCTGCTTGCTCAGAGACATCAGCAGTTCATCTTGAATGTGAGAATTCTTGAACCCTCATTCACACTTTAGCCTCAGAACACTGGCACTGTCAAGCATTATTAGCCCCCAACACACACACACACACACATACACACACCCCTCCCTTTGCATCTACTTTGTCAGTTCCTTCCAATTTAAGAAGTTTCTGGTAAAGTTGATTCTGTTGCTCTGTACTGTTAAGCCACAGCAGAGGAGCATTGTCCTGTCTGTGGCAAGGCTTCATGTAGGAAAGAATTCTGTTTGCCCTCCAGCTCTGAGATGCCTAAAGGGGGGAGATTACAGTGTCATCCTGAAACCCTCCTATTAGACAGTACACAAATACTGGCTTGGGTGTGTTTGCTGCTCTATAACAGTCATCTGTAGCGGAAGCCAGTGGAAGAAAAGTGGTTTACAGTGCAGGCAAACCAAATGAAAGGGTCTAGTGCTCCACACTGCTTGCAACACGTCACAAAATTCTCAGGTAGTGATTTGCATGAGGGGCTGCAGGCACTGTTTGCTATCCTTGGTGGCAGCGATCATCCCCAGGGGCCCCCATGAGACACTGTGTTTCACCACTATCATGCCACACACCTGTGACTCTGGGGGTAACTCATTTTAGCATTGATCCTCTTGGGTTTGATCAAGCTGAGACTTTTAAAGGATCCGCCCTGTTTAAAACAGTCTCTGCCCAGACCTTGTAGTTCATTGTTCACTTCTCAACAATGCTCGTCTGTTTCACAAAACCCACAAGATGTGAGGTGATTGACCCAAATGATGATTTGTGTTTGAAAGGTTCATGGAAAAGAAACTGCCATTTCTGCTCTGTGAGTTTAGCAGTATCGGTCGTGGTAATAATGTTCAATTGCTCGTTTGTTCAGCCGGAAAATGTATAGCTTCCTCCTGTGTGTATTACCTGCTTTGCATAGAACTGCCTTGCAGCTGTCCCATCATCCATCTCTTCTTGCTTTAGTCTCTTTCCTGAGGGATTTTACAAAGTGTTTCCATGTTGCCTCATTTTGGCCTTCTGTGCTGCAGGTTTTGATGGCAGATGTTAGATCTCGCTAGACCCCGCTGTGCTCATTGTGATACATTTCCTTTTCAGACGTACGGGCTGCACCACCAGAACGAGAACTCGGTGGAGATGTGCACGTTCGTCTGCAAGGTTCACGAGGGCAGCCCCGCGCAAAACGCCGGCCTCCGAGTCGGTAAGCAGAGCCCCCTCCTCTCCACCCACCTGCAGTGCTTCTGTCTTTGTCAGTGTTTGGGACATCTGGGGACAACACTGTAGAGGCCCAACCAAGAAAATGAAGAATGAAAGGAGGCCTTTGCATATTTGACAGCTTAATATGACTGAGTAGTAGATAAGCCTACACACGTCACGCAAACATATGTGGAAGTGTTTATGTATAATACATATGT